TCTAGATATCCCTGAGAACAGACACACACAACTGCCTAGAGCTGGACCTTACCATTTGGCTTTTTGAAATAAGGAAAATGAGCTACTTAAGCAACATTGTTGCTGTCAATAAACTTGAAGTTGGAAAGCTTGTATAGTTGTGAAGCCTCATATATGTTTAATATATGTAATGTACATATTAATATAATATATGATGTGTATTATATACATTTACCGTAAGTATATTTTGAACCAATAGCATATACGTATATGTGTTTGTGTATGTGCATATATATGTGCACGTGTGTGTGTGTAATTGCATATGTGTCTATTTAATCTTTTTCTAAGTTAAAGGCAAGTGGACACTGGGCAATTTTTTTTAATCCACAGTGCCAAAAGATTCATTATGCATATGATTTAATCCCTCATACAAGCTATATACTTGGATATTATCATTAATCTTACTACTAACTATTATTATGAGCACCAGTGAGATAATACAAGTTGTGTCTCTGTCTGATTTCAATATCAGGGTGATGGGGGCCTCATGAATGAGTTTAGCAGAATGGCCTGTTTTTCAATTTTTTGGAATAGCTTGAAAAGGATTGGTGTTAAGTCTTCTTTAATGATTTGGTAGAATTAAGCTGTGAAGCCATCTGGTCCTGGGCTTATTTTTTTGTTGGGAGACTGTTGACTACTGTGTCAGTTGTGTTGCTTATTACTGGTGTAAAGCAGATAGGATGTTGCATAGACAATTAAAAAATGTTATTACTCCCACCCCACAAACCACCCAAACTCATAATGTCTTCGCCCAATCCTATTTCCTGAAGTGTTTCCCCTATGTTTTCCATTATAGTTTTATAGTTTCAGGTCTCATACGTAAGTCTTTAATTCATTTTGAGTTGATTTTGGTATATGGTAAGAGATGCAGGTCTAGTTTTATTCTTCTGCATATGGATGTCCAATTTTCCCAACACCATTTATTGAAGAGGCAGTCTTTTCCCCAATTATGTTCTTGGTGTCTTTGTCAAAGATCAGTTGACTGTAAGTCCATGGGTTGACTTCTAAGTTCTCTACTTTGTTCCATTGGTCCTAGTGCCTATTTTTATGCTAGTACCATGCTGTTCTGGTTACTATAGCTTTGTAGTATAATCTGAGGTCAGGTAGAGTTATGCCTCCAGCTTTATTTATTTATTTACTTATTGCTCATGATTGCTTTGCCTATTTGGGGTCTTTTGTTGTTCCATATGAATGTTAGGATTGTTTTTTTTCTATTTCTGTGAAGAATGTCATCGGTATTTTGATGGGGATTGCATCGAATCTGTAGACTGCTTTGGGAAGTATGGACATTATCACAATGTTGATTCTTCCAATCCAAGGGCATGGAATGTATTTCCATCTTTTGTGTCTTCTTTAATTTCTTTCAGTAGTGATTTGTAGTTCTCATTGTAGAGATCTTTCAAGTCCTTGGTTAAATTGATTCCTAGGTTTTGTTTGTTTGTTTGTTTGTTTGTTTTGGTGACTATTGTAGATGGGCTTACTTTCTTGATTTCTCTTTATGTTATTTCATTATTGGAGAATATAAATGCAACTGATTTGGGGGCATTGATTTTATATCCTGCAATATTACTGAAATTATTAATCGATAGTCTTTAGGTTTTTCAATACATAGGCTCATGTCAACTGCAAGCAAGCATAGTGTGACTTCATCTTGTCCAATATGGATGCCCTTAATTTCTTTCCCTTGCCTGATTGGTCTGGCTAGTACTTCCAATACTATGTTAAACAGGAGTGGTGACAGTGGGTGTCCTTGTCTTGTTCCTGTTCTTAAGGGAAAAGCCTTTAGTTTTTCCCCATTCAGCATGATATTGACATTAGGCTTGTCATAAATTGTCATTTTAGCTATTTTACTTAGTTGTCTAAAATCTGTTTTAGAGAAAAACAGGGCATTCAACTATGAATTAA